GGGAAGGATAATTCGTTGTCAGCTATTTGTAAACTTGTCCTTCGAATTTATTCATCATACATTTCCATAGAATATAAAACTGCGTGCATATGAAGGCAAATGAAGGCACATAAGCACATAATAATATACACACATATGCCTCTAGAATGAGAAATGATTTCAACTAATCGAATCACTTAATATCCCATGAAAATGCATAGGATTGGGATATATATATTTGTGTATGCATGCGTATATATATGCATAATTAACCCAATATTATGCATTTTGATGGGGTATAAGGTGATTCGGTCAGTTCAAATAATTTGTCAGGCTAGAGGCATGTGTGTGTGTGTGCATCTCTTCATCATACACTTTCAAGAAATAAACGTATAAGTACGCGTGAAAACACATACTCACACACGAATTTATACACACAAATGCCTTTAGACTGACGTATGATTTTGGATGAGTACATCACTTTATACCCCAAATAAAATGCATAGGTTTGAGATATATGACATATATATGCATACTTATATATATATATATATGTGTGTGTGTGTGTGTGAGAGAGTATTTATGTAAACAGTTTAGAATATATATATATATATATATATATAGCATCTAAACATTGGTTGATAAGTCTTCTTGACTCGATAGCTTGAATTTGGCTGTAGGAAGGATATTCTGGTCTGATAATGTCCTCTACCTGTCAAACTAGAGCCTATCAGGTTTTCACCGGACTCGAAGGGGCCCAATATCGTCTTCTGGTGTACTCAAGGTTCTGATTATATAATCTGAAACATTCACTGGAATTGGAGCTGATCTGAGCAATCTACCAGCTAGACTCCAGGCTCTCCTTGTCCAGGCTGGGCTGCTTCGCCGGCCGGCGGGCCCATCGTTCGTAGAACTGCTGGCCCGGGGTCATCTGGCCACGCCAGACTAAGCGTCTTCTCTCGCCATCATTCGAGGAGGCGACCTTCCGCAGGCTAGTCCCTAATGCATCCGTTCTGGCCGAGGCCGGGACTCCGGTGGCCGACCAAACCGGCCTCGTCAGCCAGACCCGTCGACGGCGCATCAGTTCCGGCGTCTGCGAGACGCCGGACCCAATGGTCAGCTCTTCGACGTCCCGAGTGACGCGTAGCTCAACCTTGTCCAGCCGATTCATGGCCCATCTTCGGGTGCGGTAAAGATCGGCGAACACCGCTTGACGATGAGTCAAAGCCGCCGTTGCCGGCGCCGGCCAACTTGGACTTGAGGTGTACCGGAAGATGGAGAGGATGCTGGGCCGAGGCGCCCACGAGGCGGCCGGTCCTCTGCAGTTTATCGCGCTGGAGGGCATAGTGAAGTTGACCGTCGTCCGCGAAGACGCCTCGAGGCCTAATTCTTGGCTGGTCTCAGCGCCGACGCCAACTCGTCCGGTCAGGCCGGCTCTCCAAACGGTCTGAGCCGGCGACGGCGACCGCGACGATGAGGCGATCTCGCCGACCGGCAGCTCGAGGACCATCAGTCGGCATGGTCTCGTCTCTGGTACTTGGTATCTCTGAAGTTCTTCAGGCGTCAGGGTGAACGGTGATCGATACATCAACGAACATCTCGGTGCAGCATGTGTGTCAATCATCTGTCCCCTTCGCACGGCTCAGTTTGACCAGAATGAAAATAAGTGAAAGTCGACCAAAAGCAGCAGTCGGAATACGACACCTGCCGGCCGAGGGAAGGTGACAGGCCGGATGGGCAATCCAGTGTCTGATTGGACGAAAAGAGACGGCCAATCAGACGCAAGCATTGGAGCCTGATTTATCAAATTAACCGGACCACTAAGCTGGAATAGGAGGTCCATTCAAATTGGGTAGGCGTTCGAGAGTATCAATTAAGCTAAATTAAGAACTTTAGTTACCCTAGGTCTGATGAGGTGACGAAGAACTGATAGTGAATTTTTCCCTGAATGAGACGCCGTTGAATTTCCAAAAAGATATTCTTATCTTAGGCCTCATCAGCACACCCAAGAAGAATAAATGATTAGCAGTCGTGGCAGAGTGGCGTAGTTGTAGCACTCAACACTCCTTGAGTTCGACTCCCGTTTGATCGAAACTGCACTTCACCCTGGATGAGTATACTTTTTGGGAAACGAGATTAGGTGAAATTAAATGACATTGTGGGAAATTTCACAATCAG